GGGTTAGAAGGAATAACCCTGGTGGGAGAAGCACAGTCTAAATGTAGTGCTTTGGCTAAGAAGGAGTTTTGAAATTTTGGCTACAAATGACTGAATGCTGCCTGCCAGATTCATTCTCTCTGTGCCTTAAGGGATTTTCAGTTTGCCAGGAGCAATTTCTCTACCTTACAATTTTGAATTTACTGTTTTAAAAATATACTTGCCCCAGTGCCAATTTGAGACTATATACAGGCTTTGTCAAAACTGATCAAATAAAAGGAAAAATAAGATGTATAAATTCCTCTTCGGCTGGAGACTGGTGTGAGGTGGCTACAGAAATTCAGATCACGTCATGTCTTTTTTAGAATTGACAACTTGAGGAGGAGTTGTCTTGTCTGACAACAAGTGAACATTTTTAGCTAAAATATTTTCCAGCTGACAGGTGCAGCTGAATCCCTTGTTTGTGTATTGTCCCCTGCTTTGGATTTTAGCTGACCTGGCACATTGCATTTGGCAAATTATTGCATTAGTTTTGTGACTGACATAATCTTTGTACAGGAGCTACAGTCAGTGTAGAAAACAGTTTTTTTTAAAAAAGCTGACCATCATAGGCTGCATTTCTCTACTTACATCTCTTTCCTCGGTTTATTCCTGAAAAACCTGCTGCCAATTTCTAAGGTTTTGCTTGTCCTGGGGATAAAAAACTAGCTTGGCACCCATCGTCCTCTTTATAGGATGAGATTACGGGGTGCAGGAATTCTATTTGTAAGAAGCAAAACAAACATAACAGAGATGTGTGCATCTCTGCCAGTTCATTTGTGCAGCATCCAGTCAATGAAACCAACTGGGTAGGCTCTTTCTTGATAGATTTACACCTTTCTTTCCTATTTTTGAGGAACATGCATTGAGTAGCATGGCCTTATGATATCTTTCTGGATAGTTTCCTTTGGAAATCTGCATTTGGTCATACTATCAGAAGACGTCTGTGTCCACTAGCATTGTAATGGTGGCACATCATCAGTAATTAACAAGTGCCCCATGTGTATGTGATCTGAAGAGGTGTAAATAGTCTCTTATTTAAAAAAAAAAAAAAAAAAAAAAAAAAAAAAAAGAGAGAAATACATCACTGTGTATAGCTAAGTAAGTTCTTAATGAAGCATATAGACTTATTTCTGTTTGTTCACTCTGAGGAAAAAGGGGCAGCACTTTATTCTAGAATGCTGTATTTAACCATGGAAATATAAACAAAAATTGAAAATATTTGTTCATGTTAACAGAGCCAGAAAGCATAAAGGCCCATACCTGCAAAGTTATTCATAATCCTGCTTAATCTTTAGGGTTTAATTTCAATGCTGCATAAATAATTTTGCTGATCTGATCAATAAACACATTGACTGGCATCCTGTGCTGTCTCCATGCGGAGGTAGTCAAGTGGAAACATGACTCAGAGAGATTTTGCAGGGTATTCCTCGACCTGCCCTTTAAAGGGAATTGACAGTGCCTGGCACCCTTCAGTGCTGACCCACTAACCTCTTCCATGCCAGATTAGTTATGTAGTCTGGAAAAACTTAGACTGTAGCTGCCGGTATTTTATCTAGCCTCAATGATTTACTGGAGGATCTCAGGCCTTTGACTCATGGCTCCAGTATTCTTTATAAATGCTAATAATTAAAGGAGGGAGAAAACCTGAAAAAGAAATTAATTCAATTTACAATTCATGCACAAAATTAGCTCAAGCTTAGCAAGGAAGCTGTCTGGATAAGTTGGAGTAGGACAATTTACTCCAGAATATAACTTCATGGTGTTATCACGAGGCAAAATGAACAATTTCCTTGAAAAAGGAGCACTGGGTTTAGCAGCAACTCACATCCCTTTGTGTAAAAGCCTCCCTCAGGGCATTTATTTATGGTTGTACTATTCTACTATTTTAAAAACCACAATTTAAATGAATTTGAGGAATTAGAAGAAAAAAAAATCAAACGGATGGAGTCTGAATATTTAAATTCAGGAGTTCCAGGGGAAATTCACTTATTAAAATTCATAAAAATTAGTCTGCTGATATGGTTACAAAGCTGAAAAGAGAAATCTGGAAATGTGATTCTTCAGAAATATAAAATGGGGAATAGTTAGCATAATGTTGGATCTGGCAGAGTAAAGAGGATAAAAATAGATAATTTAAGATTGTGCAATAAAGTTACTACAAACACCACCTGAAATGAATCAAATATGTCAGAATTATTAACACACTTTATAAACACTAACATTCCAAAAAGGCACCAGGGACACCACGGCAGACTGTAATTTCAAAATTAAATGGAGCAAATTAAAACAAGGTTGTCAGTAGTACTTAACAAGAAATGAACTCAGCTGTAGTCTCAGACCATTTAAGACCAGAATCTCATATGTTCATTCTAGTTTAACAACATCACATTACCAGTAGCTCCGTTCATCAGTGGAATCAAAACCTGTCATTTAAAAATAGAAGGCACTTTTGAAGAGAAGTGAAGAATCTAGTATGAATTAAAAGATCACCCAACTTTATTCTAGTGTTAGCTGTGCCTCTTACAGTTCTGTGGGGCATTTTGCAGAAATGAAAGCTTACCTCCAGGCACTCAAGGAGTCCTGGGTCACTCTAGTTTAAGCAAAGTAAATGGATCCTTTTCTGAATGATATTTCAAACTCAAAATTTGAGTCATTTAAGTTCCATCCACTATTTCTCTGTCATATATGTATAGACAGTCTCAGTTCTGTAGTATCGAAAGATATCTACATGCAGTTTGAAGGCACTTTACAAGATCCAATGGTAACTGGAAATCACGTGCAAGATGTCACAATCTTGCTTTAGCCAGCTCCTTATTCTTATCATTTTCTTCCTTTGGAATAAAGGCTACTACTGCCATTTCCCCTTATGACTGATCTTTTTCTTCTGCCCTCCTCTAAATATTACTTCTTTTGTCCAAACTGAAATGGCAGCATGCATCTCTCTTGCTTGCTCTCTTTTTTTCCAATTAAAAAAAATATATCTTTTAAAAGTCATTCACTCTCTGATGCCAACTTTTATATTTGCTAATAAATCAAATAGAAGTACAATTTTTAAAAGTTCTTAGTTTATATCTGTTAATGCATTACAGTAATTGGCTTATCAATGAAAGACAATTATTCTGCTGTGGTTCACGCACATGTGAATCAATGCATAGGGTACGTGATTCACCCAAAATATTGAGCCATATAAGTTATATGAGGTTATCAGATTTAGGAATTGGGAAGTCCAGATATGTTAGCACAGTTGAACTAAAGAATTTGCTTCTTCAGATAATCTGGTTTTGTGATAGCGATCAATTAGGCAGTTAGAAGATCTGAAAGAAAGACCGGAAAGAAAGAGTTGTAAGTGGTGTTTATAGTCTTAGAAAATTTAGTTAATGATTTCTTGTGAGTAATACGCATTTTATTTGTTTTTGCTAATGGCAAACTGTGCCTCTGCTTTTTGCAGATCTCGTTTTAGGAAATTTAATTTTTTTTATAATTTGTGGAACTTGAACTACTCCCTGAAAATTTACATTCCTCTATCTTGAGAAAATATATTCTTCTAAAAATACTTTTGGAATTAAGTCAGTGAAAAAAGAAAAAGTAATTAAATTTGTATCAATTTCTCATTTTAATCCGTCCTTGTGTTTAGTCTCTCACAAAAAGATTACAACCCTGATGCTGTTGGAGATGCTGTAGTAAAAATGATACGTTTAATCATTGTCCCTGAATGAAAAAAGATGCTTTCTGTTTTTCACAAGTGTGTGACCGTACTTCACCGAGAAACCTCCTCTGCAGTATATATTCCTGCCCCAGTACCTATTTGGATACATGTTCAAACACGAGGTGTTTAGTTTCAGTAAACTATCACATATTTGATGGTCACCGTCATCGTTTTTATCACAAACCTCTTTTCTACAGATTATTCTCCACCTCCCGCTAGCAAGCTCAGTGATGCTGAATAAGTTTCCCAATAGGGTGTGCCTCCAAGCTTAGAAACTACCAGTTTTCTTTTCCAAGGAGTTCCATATTGGTATGAAAAAATGATGAAAAACACCACCCCAAATAGTCATTTTCAGTAACTAACTAGCATTTTATTTGCCAGACTTCATTTCTGACTTTTGAAATACGTCTGTTTAAATAGTCATAAAGCTTAGCTGAAACCTCACTTTTGAAATTTTGGAAAATCATTGCTATGCTTTTGCTGTTCTAAAAAGACCCGTAATTTTTATTCGAAGTAATTGGTGAAGAATATTAACTTCTCCATGAAAGATAAGGTCAGTAATGTACTGAATATAACACAACTGTTCTGTTAATTTGTACTAATTTTTAAGTTTAAACAAATTTCTGACATTTTTATCTACAAGGAATGTTTTTTCTGTGGCAAAAAAGTTAGTGTGTTTATTTCATAATAACTTGTTGTTAGTGTGGGCTGCTCGTACTGATCACCAAAGCTAGTGTGATTTCATGCCTTTGAGAAAATCCAGTGAGAACTGGGCCTTGGGCATTCTGCTCAGGACAGTAAGCTGACCCAATCCGTCTTGCCTCTTTCCCCATGATCTTCAAATCATTTATTCTAAGCAATGCCCTAAAGAAGAAAATTTGAGTGGCAATTTAATCTAGGAATCAAGGCTTGACTAAATATCATGCTGCTTCAATCTATTGCTGGGTCATTATGTGAATTTGGGTAAATCATTCCACCCGTGATGATTGTCATTCTTCCTTTTCTCTGATATCCTTAATAAAATCCTGGACGAATATACAACAGTACGAGGAACATTTAGATACCAAGGAAGTAGGGAAATTAAACAGAAAAAGATTATCTGTGAGCCCTACAACTATTCTTACTGGAGTTTCTCATTTACACGATATAGTATGTTGGTGCAAAATGGCTTGCTTATGGTCAACCTCATTATTTTGCCTTTCAAATTCTGTGTGTAAAGAAAGGATACAGGAAACAAAGAGTTAAAGTTTCTGTTTATGCGCACTCTCGACAGAAAATGGGGATAACCTGGACAGCATGCAGAACAGATTGAAAGATGCTGATGAGAAGAATTGCGTTCTCCTGCGAGCTTTGAATGATACCTTTGGAAAGCTGTCAGCCATTCCGAATGGTAAGCGGAAAAAGAGCTCAAACATTTGACTCATCCCTGCCCTGTTTTTTCATTCCGTGTCACTTAACATCTGCCTGAGTAATCTTTGTCTGTGTCCACATTGTGTCTGCTTCGACCATTGGCTATTATATTAAGATGAAGATATGTTAGAGAGAACTGAACTGAAAACGGATGCCTGATAACGATTTGTATTTTGGCATGGTAAAAGATGCCATGTTTTTTAATTTGCAAAAGGTTGGTTTCAGGAAGAAAAGAATGATATCAGGAATTATGATGCATTGTGAGACAGGTAATCTTTTCTTTATGCCAGAAAAACCTTTTTATGAAACTACTGTTTTAATGAACTGTGCTTTTTATAGTGATCCAAAGCCAAGATCGTTTAACCCAAGAAAAAGAAAGACCTATTGGCTTTACAGGCAAAGCAAGATGAACTTTCCTGTATTTGTCTTACTTGTCTGCCATACTCTGTCATTTATGCTACAGTATCATATAGTGTCATTACTTGGTGTTGTATGTCTTATTTGGAGTGCAGGTTGCTTAGAACTGGAACAGGCTTTCTTCAAACCTGTAGTGCTGTGCACACAGGTGTATACTGTAAAACAAAACAAAAAAAGTGGTATTCATTATCATCCCAGAGTGCTGGGGTGTTAGCTGCTTTGTGTTGTGATAGTGATAGGGAGCTACAATGCAACTTTATTGAATATTTCTAACTAATGGACAGTGATAAACAGAATGTTTGTTTTTAGAAAATGAGAAGCTTTACGCTTTCTTTATCAATGTAATTTGCTATGACTTTTCTCTCTAAGGAGCACTTTATTATGATGAACTGAAAATATGCCTTAACAAATGTCTCTAAAGAAAATCTATATTCCGTCGCTTCTGTGGTTGTCTGGAAGATCCAGACTGCAAGTTAAAAAAGCTTGACATGAAAAACAACTTACTGTTCATCATCTTGCATATTTTTGTGGCTTTAAGATTCCAGATAACTTAAAAAAATATTTAAGATGTGGAGATCCTTGAAATCACTCATTCATGAGCTTTTGTTTTAATTCATTATGCTCATCTTATGCCACTTTCTGGTTTTTGGCCACAGGTGTTGACATGAATGTTCTCTTCTTGAGCAGATAGATGCGTCAGTCAAACAAAATGGACCTCTGAGGCCAGCTGGCCTTTGGACACAGAATGCTAAATGTGAAGCAAGTAAAAAGGAATATATGAAATAAGCAACCATTAACAATGTAATAAAGTTTTGTCAGATTAGAGTTACAGGGTGCTTATTCTTGGGACAAGGACACTCAGATACACGAGCGGATGTGTATTAAGAATAAAATCTAGAGCTAATAAATGGCAAGGATAAGAAAATGTAGTGAACTAGTTATCAAACAGGGAAATAACCAATGAGGATGGGGAAAGAAAGTGACCTTCACATATATCTTGTTCTTCAAGGATTCGAGAAAGTAGAGAGCAGTTAAGACTCATAATTCTTCTGTGAATGCTGCAATAATAGCCGAATAAAATGAGAAAAAATTAAAAAGTGAGGGAGAGGAATAGATCACCTTAGGACAAGGACCCATGTGTTCAAGGATGGGCATACATTATAGGTGTGACTGAAAATAAGTAAAAGGTGTGCAGGGAAGTAACATAGTCACTCCAACTTATACCGTGCTGGAAAGGTTGCGTGGCCTGTCATAACGGCCTGGTAAAGAGATACGTAGGTATGATGAAAAAAGAAAGTGGAAAGAGGCAATCCGAGCTCTCTGTTCTTTCACTTGTCAGTACTGATGATGATAATGGCTTATTAAAGGTTCAGTTGTACTTTCAAGGTGCTACTGTGTTTTGGGGACTTTTCAGAAAGGGTGGAGTTGTTTGAAGCACAGGTATATATCTTCTCTCAAGAAGATAAGTAAAGGTCACAGTCTCTAAAATTCTTATGTAACTGAGAGTCACACGGATACCTTGGAGAACACAGGAGGAAAAGAAGTTCCAAGAGTAGTTTCATAGCTTCACGGGTAGCACATGGTAAAAAGAGGTTCCTGGAGGTCCCACAGCTCCAGTCTGGTCTGGTGAAGGCATGGGAGTTCACATGGTTTCCTTTGCAAGCTGGTGTGTCCACCCTAACAATTTCTGCGTCCTCCCATCTGTGGGAATTCAGAATATTTGGAAGCCCCCAGCCCAGCGCAGCCCAATGCTGCTGGATCATCATGTGATGTAATCCCAGCATGGCAACTGCACTTACACTGCTCAAGAGCTGTGTGTTGCTCAAGAAATATAAGTTTTAAAGCTGCCTGATTTACTAATGCATGATTCAAATAAATATCTATTCAAATACCTAGGAGTCTGTTTTATGTAGGATCAAAAACGTTAGACTTTGAATGTGTTCACCCCAAAGAATGAAGTTTTTTCCATTTTGCAGACAGAGAGCTGAGGCAGCATGAGACTAATTGTTTTACTCAGGGTCACCAAGGATGTCTACAGATGAATGTGATTAACTCATTCAGTGGACCCGCAGTCTCCTGATTCACAGGATTATTTGTTCTAGTCTTCTGTTGGTGACAATTTCAGCTGAAACACATGGAACATAGTGTTAGATTTCTGTACTTTGTACATCAGAACATTGAAAGGGCTATGTCTATTATAAATATCAAATATTATCTCTGCATGAGAGGCTAACCATGGAGTCAATAACAACAGCAACAGAACTGCACAAAAACTTATCCAGTAAAAATAATTTGACCTTTACCTACAATTGAAGCTGTAGAGACTGTCTTTTTCTCTTCTCTGGATTTGTTTGTTGTCTCAGAAAAGACATAAGGGGTCAGATTCTGCAGTCCAGGCTTACAATTAATAATGTGTTGCTACATGTGAAGTAGGAGCTCTCAGAGAGTAAGAAACTGCACAAGTAAAGATGGTAGCATTCTGGCCCAAATATATTCTTGGTACGTGTGAGCACAACGTCAGTGTTCTAGAGAGTCGTTTCATTATCCTTTCCTTCCTACAGATACAGCGATAAAGGTGCAGGCAGCTAAGGACAAAGCAAGACAAGCCACTAATACTGCAAATGATGTCCTGGCCCAGATTAAAGACCTCAACCAAAATCTCCTTGGCTTGAGAAACAACTACAGTAAACTTGCAGATGATGTAGCAAAAACAAATGCTGTTGTGAAGGATCCTGTCAAGAACAGTAAGTCTTTTGGGTTTTGTTTTTTTTTTTTAAATCTGATCACCTCCAAAGAAACAGAGATACTCCAGAACTTCACTTGCATAGAATTCCTATGGTATGTTGGGGTAAAAGGAATCTCTTAAGGACTGCTGCTAGTAGTAGGAAAAAAAGGCTAGTATCAGCAGGATGAACATGAAGTGGTTATATTTCTTTCACAGACTACTCTTTAAAGTAGTTAGGTAGCTGAATAACCAAAGAATTGGCTTTTGACTGACAATTCACCACTCGATTCGTGGAAATAACCCTAACCCTACCTTCAGTCAAATAATCAGTTCTCAGAGAAATCCTGGCTTTCTTTCATGGGAGTTTCTGTTTTTGATAGAACACAGAAGGCATTTGAGAAGAGAGAGAGTAAAAAAGAGATTCCAGGGAAACTTTTTGTATGCTCTTTATTTTGCAGTGAATCCTGTTATCAAATGTGACAATTGCTTTAGCTTTTTCCCTTTGGTTATGATGGAGAAATCTGTATTCTAAATTACAGCACATTTTATAGTAGAATCACAGCATATAAGAGTATAGTAGTGTACAGCCACGGCTGACTGCAAAACCAGAGTGCCTTTACAAAAGTACTAAACAACTAATTCCTCAGCTGGTCTGGGCTCCCCAGATTTGTGGTCAGCTTGACAGAGCTAGGCACCTAAAAACATCAGTTTAGAAGGGTGTCAGTCTGATGCTATGGACAAACGTGCCCCTTACAGTTGCAGCTGTGCCAGGGAACGAAGTTAATCCCAGTAGCAGTTTGTCGCTTTCTTCCTATTGGAAGTTACCGATCCCTCATCCACTGAGATACGAGTGAGCTCCAGGCATAATCCGCACTAGTCAGACTGACCCACATTAGTTTAGACAATTTAAAAAGTAGGTATTGATTTAAAACAGTTTGGTTAGATTACACCATGTTAGGGAACAAGCAGATCTTCAAGGCAGATGTGCCAGGATATTGGCAGGATAGTGATAAACAACTGGGAGGTGGCCTAAAAGCAGTCGTTTCTTCCATTGGTGCAGCTGGTATGGCATAGGTCATCTGTCCCAGGCCAAATACGCTAAGGCTATATGTACGTTAGCGTTTTAATTCAGATCAGGAGTGAAATTTTGAGGTGAATCTCTTGATTGTCCTCGGTTTGCGTGATCTAAGGAGTGGTCTCAAAACTTGCCAACTCTATTCATGTCAGATGAAGCTAAACTGGAAGATGCTTTCCAGAAATACACCTACCATTCTCCAGCTGCCGATGGATTACAGGATCAAATTAGAGCAAATACGAAGTAAATCATCCAAAACATATATAGTGTGGATGTTAGCCCCGCAGCACTGCATGCTAAAGTAGATAGCCTCTCCTGTATGCTAAAATTCAGGCTCTGAATTCTCATTATGCAGATGGGCAATATATAAAAGATAGCAAGTGTTTCTAGACTAATCCTGACCCTTAAATTACTTTATATTTTTGTCTAGGCCGTTAAAACATTTTCTTATGTTACCATCTTTCCCTTGTCTCCATGTCTTGCCTGCAGAAATCAGTACGTATCTTTCCTTTCTTGCTTCTTGTATTGTGCCTTTTCTATTAAGTGATGATTCACTGTTTACTGTCAAAGCTTCTGCATGGTGCTCCATGTTTCTCATTCATCCGAATAGGTAAATAGTTACTTTTAGAAGCCTGAAAAAGTGGAACTGGTGATTCAGTGAAATTGTGAAAGGCTGTAACTAAAGGAATATCTGTCACATCAAAGTTTGGGAGAAAAAGTGGCTTGGTGACTATGAAATCCTAAGAAACCTCTTGGAGGTTTGGTATCAGTGTCTGGGTTAGTATCCAAAAACTAGATGTCCAAACAGTCATGCTTTATGCAACAATAATGCAATTTTTTTTTCGTTCTGTCTATATGGTAAACTACTGGTTTGTTCCTTTCATAGTCATCACAAACCATACCCTCATGCTAACCAAGTGTTGCACTCCTTAGATCCACTCATGAGTTGTCAGAGAGAGGGGATAGTTCACTGCTTGTACGCTGAAATGCAATAACGGTCATTTGAATCTTAAAGAAAAAGAGAGAAAATCTTCTTGTGAAGGGATGAAGTTCACCTGAAAAAAGAAAATATTTGCAGTTTCCTGCTGCTTTTTTTACAGCTTTCGTTAGCACTTACATAATTTTAAACTTTTGATCAGAATAAAACCTTTTTCTGGTTGTGACCATTATAACTAATTAAAGAATTATAGCCATCTAACCTTTTTGCAGAAATTACTAATGGACACTAACTGGTTTTTGTTAATCTAACATATTTCTTCAAAACCGGAGTAAAAAAAAAAGAAGGTAAATACTTTGTAGATGCATTTTACTATAGCAAATGCTTTTCATCAGTATCATCCTATGCTCTAGGTGACCCTGCTTGAACAGGGAGGTTGGACTAGATGATCTCCAGAGGTCCCTTCCAACCTAAACGATTCTGTGATTCTGTGATCCTGTCCTGAAGCATTGTTACTCCTTCAAAATCCTCCTTTAACACCATTTTTGCTATTACTGCTACTTTAAATTGTTTTAAAATATTCAGAAATTCTTTTATTCCGTTCAGTTAGCTTCCTGGTGTGTGTATATCTCTCAGCAGCATATACAATTGCTTAAGTATTGTGTATGCAGGATTCTTATGAATTTTATTAGTGCTATCTATCATCACTTTCTGATACCCTTCTCTATTACTCTACCTTATTCTTTCTCACAAAGTTGCTGATGCTGATTCCAGTATTAAGAGCCTAGAAAAGGAAGCAGATCGCCTACTAGATAAACTCAAGCCAATTAAAGAACTTCAGGACAACTTAGGGAAAAACATTTCTCAGATAAAAGAACTGATAAACCAAGCTCGGAAGCAAGCCAATTCGGTAAGCCCTCCTTTCTCAGTAGGATGACCTTATGAGTATTGGTGCGATTCTCTTTTCTACTTTTCTGTTTCTTTTCCTTGAGGTGAATCCCTGCTAATTCTAAACATGTGTAAAGGGAGCAAAGAGTGGAATATAACTTCTCAGAAAAACAGAGAATATTCTGATGATTTTCTCTCTGTATCTTGTTTCTTCATTTAAAATGTGCCCTTGTTAAATCAATAATATCTGTAGGAATATATATGGAAAAGTTATTATTTAAGAAGTATTATGGAATACAGCAGAAGAGTCAAAAAGATATATCCATCATTGATTATTTGTGGATACGAAAGTGTATTTTCTTCCTCAGCACTGATACTAATTGCCTGACTTCATAGAACTTGCATTACCTGAGAATGCCGTGGACCATCTCAAACTCGCTTAAAAATCCTAAGTGTATTTGCTTTTCCCATGTCCTTGATTTTCTTTGTCCACTAGCAGTTCTGAGGACTCAAATTTGGGTTAGAGTGCATTTTCTGGCCTGATTATTCAGAATTACTCAGCTATATTCTAACGTCAGGAATCAGTTGGTAGATAGTAGTGTTATTCAGCTTGTGACCCAATGCAACAAGGGAAGTTACTAAAAAAATTCTTAAGGATGGTACTTAAGGAAACTTCCTGTATAACATACATGAAATTCCCACAGAGAAAATACATCTGTTGATAAAAACATCTGCAGACTAATAGGCTCACAGGAAGGAAGTATATTCCATGTTTTCAGTGAAATTTGCTCAAGATGGAAAGACATGTTGCAGTGATGATGTTTGTAGTTTTCTTGCTACATTGCATCATCTGTCTTTTGAAGTACTTAACTGCCCAGCATTTCTGAGATAGGTAAATACTGTATTTGGTCATATAATGGGTCTCCTTTTTGTCAAAGTTGGTCCTAAAAGCATGAGGTGATATCCTTATGTACATCTACTCTAGTAAGACAAACGTGTCTAGCTGGAATTGAGATACCCTTGTACTGTCACTGTGCCTATGCTGGCATTGTGAAAGCAAGCAGTATACTGTTTTTATCTATGCTCAGAGCCTGAGGAAACTAGCACATATGTCAAAATGCGTATGTCACTCAGCTGTGAAAATGAAAGCTACTTATGAATACCAACTCCATTAGAGGCCAGTTCAAAGCAGTATGCAGTGATAGACACAACTGTTGGTTTAAGAATGTTAAAAGGTGTCTTAAAATGGCCTAATCAAAGAAATTACATAGAAAAAAATAGATCATCTTATCTAAAAAGAAAGGCTATGATTCATCCTGCATACACTACGCTACGTACACTACAACACTGCAAAACGTTCTTGCTGCATATTCTACTTCTAGACTCGCTCTATTGCCAGAATTCCATTGCTGCTTTTGTTATAGCAGTGTATCTTCCAGCTATTTTTAATCCATACAGTTCCGCCTTTCAAATCAGGATGCCAGAGAGAGTTTTCAGTGCCTTTTAATTAAAATACAAGAGACAATCCCAGTAAGAAAGAAAATTCCCTTTCTACCTCCTGCATGCTTAATCACAGGCAACTTCCTTGTACATGTGACACAGAAACGGGAAGGGCAAAAAAAGTGTAATATTCTTACAGTTATTTTGAAGCATCTAAAGTCATTTATGGAACAGTAAGGAGTAAACTGACTGCATTCTGATTTGCCTTTTTTGAAGATCAAAGTGTCCGTGTCCTCTGGAGGCAACTGTATTCGCACATACCGACCGGAAATAAAGAAAGGAACATACAACACCGTCATTGTAAACGTGAAGACTGTAGTTGCTGACAATTTGCTTTTTTACCTTGGAAGCGCCAAGTTTGTAAGTCTGCCTCCTCCTTTCGGTGTCAGGGTTGCTCAATCAATCAGATTGGATTATTGACAAACAAAGAAGATAAAGCCTTTTTTTTCCCCCCCGATAGAAACTTCAAAGCAATAGTAGAAGGCCTAAGACAGTATATATCTAGTTTATCTTTTATATTAATATAGGGACTTTTAAAATATGACTGGCAAATATTTTAATTTTAGCAGAGATCAAACCTGAGGCTTCTACATGAACTACATTGGAGCTTTAAAATTCACAGCACAACCAGAGTAATTTTTGCTTTGCTTGTGGGTTTTCCCTTGGGCGTGAAGTAGCTAATCATCTTGGATCTGTCAAAGTTCCTATTTATTGTGATTTTAAGTCAAGACTAGAATCGCAAGCATGATAATGATGAATGATTCAGTTTTCCATGAGCCCTCTAGCAGACAGGCTTCCAGAATAATCAAAAATAATTTCATAAATGGGAAAAGTATTATATTTCTAAAATTTGGAACTGTGTATTTTATGTAAAATGAAGAGGTTAGATGGCATCATGTGTTAGCCTATAGAATCCTGACCTCTTTCTGCTATCCAATGTTTTTTTTTACAAATAAAGTTACTCTGAGTTAAATTCTTCTCTTTATGGCTACAACATTATCATCTCTGTAAGTCTAGCAGCAATTTACTGCATATCACTAGCAGAGGACATGTACCTTACTCGGCTTAAGATTCCTAGCTTGAATCAAGAAAAGTGGTGAAAAAGGGAACTTTTGGTGGCTACGAGAATTAGTGTTCATACTTTACTTTGTTCATACTTTGTCTAGATATGGGTTTCCAAGGCACCACTAGACCTTCTGAAATATGAGGAATTAGTGTTCTGGAGACCTTCTTTTTAAATCAAAGTACGGGATTGCTTCTGTTTTAATATCTTACATGTAGACTGACTTCCTGGCCATTGAGATGCGCAAAGGCAAGGTGAGCTTCCTGTGGGATGTGGGATCTGGTATTGGACGGGTAGAGTATCCGGATCTGACCATTGATGATGGATATTGGTACCGGATTGAAGCCTCTAGGCAAGTATATATTTCACTCGCAAAATTTGTTCCCTAAAGAGAATGTGACTAATTTTAATGTGTTCTGTTTCTAATCCACTCTTCTCATGTTTGCATATCAAAGGTTTATGCAAGTATTTGCTATCTTTGAAATACCATTTTTTAAAAAAAGATGATGTCATAACTATGAGAAATTAGAATCTGATTTAATGGAAGCTTTTGAACATTTGTCTAATAGTACCAAAACTGTATAGACTTGAATTACTGTAGAAGTTTTAATGTTCTGTGCCAATAATTTCTTTTAAGTATTTCCCCTCTTATGTCAATGATCTCTGACTGCTTATATTCCCTCCTTTTTATTCATACTCTATCACTTCTTTGACTACTTTCCTTTAAAAAACTTACCGTTTCCGGGTTTGGCACTCAAACAGGTAACTACTATTTTTTTCACCTTGAATTTCAATGAATAGCATCTTTTCTGAATTTCTGGTCTTGACATGGTACTGCAAGTGGGCGGTCTGTCATACACCACTATCTTGATTCCTCCTCAAAATGCCATTTCAGTAGGTAGAATGTCACTTCAAACTGGCAATATTTAAAAAGATACAGTTTAAGGAAAGTCAAGGATAAAATATTCTGGACAGTTAAACCATACAGAAAATAACTTTGCACGCCTTTGAGATCAGCTGTTGAATATTTTTTAACTTTAAAAATGTAGATACTTAATACTCAAATTTCACATTAGTTTCTTGAACCTTGTATTTTCCTTTCAAATGGTAAAGTCATGGCATATGGTATAGTAACTGCAGCATAAGGATTATATAACTTCCAAAAAATTCAGATTACGTTTCTAATCCCTGTCTATCTCTGCAAAAGATAGACACTGATCAGTATCTATCTGATCAGTATTAATACTGGGGAGCAGGCGATTACTTTTGTAAGTAGATAAAGCTTAGTGTAAGCAGCACTGTATTACATATGTAAAGAATGCCACGTCAATAGGGGAATTTTAATAGTAGACTGTGCTACATGGGTACAAAGCATATATATATCCTTTATCCTGTAGTTTTGAATAGATCTTAGTAATTTATCTATAATGCAATCCAATATGAAACTGAATAAATCCTTATATGTTAATTTCATATAGCATTAAACAGAAGTGATAACATGGCCAGCAAATGAGGCAGAGAGAGAGGGATTAAAAAAGAGCACTTTAATTCCTGTTATTTCTCTGGCTCTCAGAAGATGAAATAGTATCCAGTTTAAATAATTTAGTGAAATCATAGAAATCAGCCATTCAGAGCAGAGAATTAAATAAAATCATTGCACGTTCTCCAAAAGTTGGCTTAATTAAATCTTATTGTGAGGAAAATACAAATTGGGGTACAATACATACCGTTAAAATCTTCATCAGTTTAGTACAGTTCATATTATGCGTACTAAAATAGATTCACGACACGGTAGTGCCAGACTTTCATTTACTAGAAAGCTGCTTCAGCAGAATGTGGAGCTAGGGCATGGTTTAAAAATTCAGCCATCCTACAAATGCACACTGCCTGTTAAGCTAGTTGTTCTTGATATAGGGTGTGCATGCCATTAGTTTTGAACAAACTGCTGGATCAGCAATTTGGAACAATTACAGTTGCACAAATCTGGAGTACAGAGCAATGTTTAGGAGAATCACATTGCAGAGACACTGGTTGAAACTGTGGGATCAAGACGAAGAGCTTAGGACTGGTTTTGCATTCTTGAGGCAGGCTTCATAAATCACATACCCTGCTCAAGGCTTTTTAACTTAGAACATTTTAGTCCATCCGATAACACTCCTGACTCCCTCCTCTCCAAGCTGTTGGAGAGAGTTTTACTCATTTAATTCACTCACCTTTTTTCTCTAAATTTCTGTTCAATTCCAGCCACAGGCTTTCTCAGCAGTGTGACAAAACTGGCAAACAGCCAGAGCAGTGCAGCCACTTAGAGTGGGGGTGTAAGAGGAAATTCTGGCTTTGCTGAGTTTAACCTTTGGTTTCAGTGGGGACACATATTGACACACAGAAATAATAATATGGTGGGTGTAGAGATTTATAGCAGTACTTAAACAAGGATCCTAAAGGACCTTAAAAAAAGATATGGTGGCACAGAGACCATGAATTTCGCAAGATCACTCAGGTTATTGAATGAAATCTAAATATGAAAAAGCTGACTGTTGAGTAATGATCAGAGAAGTTCACTTCAGCTAACCTCTGTGCCAAAATTTCCAGTCTGTAAAATCAATATTAATAATTACTGCATCTATTTTCCAAACAAGCTTTTAATATTACTTGTCTTTTTAATTACATTCTACTAACACTTTGCGTTTTATTGTATATGCAGAAGTTAGCATGGAAAATTTTAAAAAAATTTTGCACGGAATTGAAGTAACATTTGTTTATTCCTTAAGTGTACCCTATGCCTATGGAATAAGTATATTCCCCATACTTTGCTGGTACCGGAATTTAAGAAGTGTCACTTAAAAAGTTGTTTACCTACTTACAAAAGCAAATCTGATTGGCATTAAGAAGCCACAATCAATCAAAGTATCAATTAATGGCAGAAAACCTTGCATAAACTGTTTACATCAGAATGATTTGAACAGGTTCACAATAGGCAAATAGTGTCAATTTTGTTAACCAGTCAAATGCATTAAAGAATATTTTTGAGGCCCTCTGGATCAGCAAAACAACGTCACTGACTTTAGCAGGCCTCAGTCAGGAGCAGGCCCTGATTAGTTGTGATTTTAATCAAGCGCAGTTTAGGTATCACCACCGTTTTAATTGTTAATGACAAACTTTAAGCAGTGCCCTTCCTTTGAGGAGAAAGGACGTTTGAATCAGAAATTCACTGAAAATCCAACCCATCCTTTTTTTTTTTTTTTTTTGCTCTCAAGGGGTCAAAAGGCAAAGGTTTCTATGTGGTATTTTGTATGCTAATGTTGATGACTTGTAAAAGTCATCTCATTTGCATCATACGTCTCCTAAAGAGCAAACCCTGCATGCATGGTGTTGCATAAATTTTTCAGATCATCAGCCACAAAATGCTAGTACCTCTTCTTTAATCAACAGATTTTGTAGGAACTAGCTATCACTCAGTAATATGTTCTAAGCTGGTGAATTGTCATGCACAGGATAGCAATGTCTTTTAGCTGTCAAGTTAGCCAAGTGCTTTCTTTAAGCTCACTTGTCCTCCTTAAGTAAGAAAGAATTATTTATGGAAGAGACTCTATTGTTAGAACTTCACTCTGTTGGAAGATGAAAGACATCCGTGCTACTTGTGACATATTAGACACTGCAAGCAGTTTCAGTCTGCTCAGTGACTTCTGGGTTATCGCACTTGGGCGTTTTTAATCTGGTTTCTCTGAATACTTATTTCAGCACAGTATAGACTGAAAGTGCCAATGACTTTCTTTCAGAGGGCATCAAATATAAGTAGATTAATAAAAGTGTATGGCAACTGTTAGTCTTTCAATAGCTAATACACTGAGAAACCTTTTAAGGGCTTCTCATCAATAACTTTATTTTTTTCAAAAGGCTTAAAACGTAGAAATTCAGCTGCATGGAAAGCTATCTACTTAGATAGCACCTACTTGGTTTTGTAATAAAAGGTGAAATATTATCATTAAAAGGAAATTCCAGCAAAAAAGTTATCTAGGATAATATGAATGGTTTTAGCCCATTGCTTTGAAATGATAAGGAGCAACTATATGTCCCCTTATGACAGATATCTCTTTGGCGATTCCCTGGGAAATGCTGCGAGTCCCGTCCAGCTCATTTCCAGAGCTGCCAAATCTATGGGTTAATCTAGGGGTGATCCAGCAGCTCCAGTGGTTTTTCTGCAGATATTTAGTATGCACAGTGAAAGGCTTGAGATCCTTGACTCCCGAGGAGGCAAGATGGCATACAGCTATACAAATATTGCCCATTGAATGACCTTATATGAAACCCTCAAAACTGCATTACAGCCCTGCTTTGTAGTTCAGGACAAATTTATCAAAACTGAAATGTTCCAAGCAAACTTTTTCGTTTCACTAAATGACTTTTTTTTTTTTTCCTAGGGGCATGGTATTTCATAAGAAAATGCTCAACTAGTTCAATTTTTGGGGTAATAGCTTCTGAGCCAAAGGAAGTTCTGTAGAGTTTTTATGGACAAAAGATATAGGATATAGCCTTTTAGGATTTTTGCAGCCTCTAGAACCCTAGTTCAGTAAAATTTTTAAACCTAGGAGTTATTTAAGTACAATATAGCAATGTCTTTGTTAAGCTCATTCAATAGCCTAATGTTATGCAGTCTTCCTTGTCATGCTTTGAATTTGAGTCTTCAGTAAAGCTTTGTTTAGCAGAAATGACAGTTCTTCCTGAGAAGTATGCTTTTAACTTTCAGTCTGCTTGTTGCTTCAATACCCTAAGCATATCTTTTCTGCTAATTAGACAAAAAAGGAATTTTTCATCTTTACATGCAGCAAAGTTCAAGACTTTATAAAAATCAAAGGGAAAATTTTTAACTTTCTAGCTGCGACTTGACAGTATCTTGATGGGATGGGTATCTAATTTCTTTTTAATCTAGAAAAGCTACATGTCCAAGTTTTTGGTGAATTTAATCGCCTTTATTTTATCTGCTTACTTGCTTTCGCTAGACACTTTTATCAAAAATATCTGGTTTCTGAGAAGAAAAATTGGTTTTGTTTAGCCTGAGAATAGGTATCAAGTAATTCTTAGAATATAATCAGGTAGCCAACAAAATGCAACAGATAATCTAAAAAATAGTCATTTTTGACAGGTGCACACTCTTTGTAAGCTGTTATGGAACAAGATGATGGGTTTTATTTAAAACAGTGTCTTTGTGCATTAATTACCAATCACATGAGTTACCAAAGTTCCATGTAATAGCCATATCCAGGCTGAACATTTCAGTGTTGGTTAAGGTTGCACGATCATGCATCCATGTTAGGAATTTCCAAAGTAACATGACAATTGCCATGTGAAATCCAGCATTTTACTAAAATTGGGATAAAGCAGCCATTTCCAAAGTGATCCCTAAACCCACAGTACATGGTCCCCCAGTGCCTACCTCTTCTCCCAGCCACTCCTCTACCACATTGCTGGACATACTGGATACTTCATTTACACATGGCAGGGTTTGGGTCCCACTCAGTGCTTATTTCTACAATTGCAAGGTGACCCAGGTGGTATGTTGAAGTAGGTGTGTCCATCTATTTGGGAAGAACCACTGATTTATGGTGTGACCATAAATGCCTAACAGTCTACTTCTGACTGAAAGATACTATCCAAACTGATGTAAGGTAGTAAAATATTAAGCAAATTATTGAAAAGGATTCAAAATGATTCAAAGTATTTCAGCGTTTCCTTTGAAATACCTTTCTGTGTACCTGAGAGACTAGGAGGTATCACACCTCTCCACATTCTGTTCATTCTATTATAAAACCATTTCCATGCCAGTTACATTGAATTCAATGCGTTGAATTTTAAGGAACAGAAGAAGAAATGTTGAAAACCATTAAAAAGTAGTAAATTCTGTTGTTGTTGTTGTCATCAATTATTATATGTTTCGTAGAGGACAATGAGGTAACATCTTTAAACCTAATGGGGTTTGTGCCTGTTTGATAAGCAACCAGAGAGCTCTGCTGCAGAAAATGCAAGCTCTCTGCATTTCAGTGAAGTAAATTAAACCACTCTGTCATGTGATCATTCATTTCAGAGGAAATAAAATCTAATAAACTTTATGAAATTCAGAAATTTAATTTGGAGCCTTGCCTACATCATTTGTTAAGTCAAGAAGCAATTACTCAAGGCTAATTCTGTCACGGTAATTAAAAAAGTGAAACTTATTTATTTTACTCAGTAAAAGTTTCACTTTATCTGTATAGTAAATTCGGTACAAAAGGGGACACTGAGATGAGGAAAAACACTGATTTTGTGATCATATCTTTAACTTACACACATAAGACAGAAAGTCTCTCCTTTGTATCAAAATTGAACATACTCAAATGAGTATTACATTACTGTATTAAAAGATGCGTGGGAAATAGACTCTTCCCTATGTTTGGTTTAACTACTGACCCTGCATGCTTAATTTATTTCGGTCAAATGTCTAGGACTGGAAAAAACGGCACTATATCAGTGCGCGCTCTGGATGGCCCCAAAGCCAGCATTGTGCCAGCCACGTTCAGAGCAGTCTCTCCACCTGGATATACCATTCTGGATGTAGATGCTAATGCCATGCTGTTTGTTGGTGGTTTAACCGAAAAAATAAAGGTAATGTGATCTTTGTTTTACCTCACAGTAAAAATAATAAACGTTAATATGTTGGCATCATTGTCGTAGGTGCGTTTAGTAACACATGGTACACCTAAGCTCTTGAAACATTTGTAGGCTTTACCTAGACATGTAGGTGCATAGACCTGAAGTTTGTCTGTCCATGCTGTTAGCTTTTTCTAACCAGAAGCCTGGTAGGTGCAGGATTTAGCCTAAACAACTAATTCCTACTGGGGGGCTGGGGGCTTCACCTTGGACATGCTGCTGCCCTCGCCAGCTTTTGGTATCACAGCGACAGGAACTCAGTTCTATCTGCACATGCTCCCAGTCTTCTAACAGTGTATATAACAATATATGTTCCTTTGTATTCAGTTTCTTTCTCTGTCACGTACCCACAGTGTCGTGTTCTTCTTGTCAGTCTATTTTTGATGTTACTGCTTTATTTTCTTCATTTTAATTCATGTTTCTCCTCTGTATCACCCTTCTTTTCAAGTGCTAAGATCTACCTGCATCAGATCCATAATCTGTTCTTTCTTCCTTTTGCCCATTCGTTTTCGTAATGACTGCTTCTACACTTCTTAACTTAATGGGAATAAATAAATTTTATGCCAAATAGAATGGATGGAAACCTTTCAGCAAAAAAAAATCTCTCCAATAAGTATTAGTTAGCGTATATTTTCCAGTGGAACCCATTACAAAACAATTTAAATGAAATATCTTGATCAGTATTTTCATTTTTTTAATGTCAAAAATGTTAACATTACAAAACAAATCCATTTAACCTTAAAAAGTTAATCTTTAAACATTCTCAAACAGTGAACTTAAGGAACACTTATTTGCACTAAAGCTTTTCTTGGTCCTTGAATATCAAAGTAGCACAATGTTGTAGAGCCGAGCTTTTTAGTTTTTAGAAAGTTCAACTTTCTAGATGATTTTAGTTTGGAATTACATGGCTAGGCTCTGCCCTTTCTTTTAGTGTGGGTGCACATACTGCTTTCCAAGACAGAAAGACAAAATAGGCCTCCGAGAATACAAGAGGAACAGAAAATGTAGATTGACTTCCTTGAAACCATTGTCTCGAAGTCCAGCTTCAGCTTCAAGTTATTCACCTGTTTTGGAACACACTTACTGTAACTTAAGTTTAGAACTTGATCAGATTCCTAGCTGAGGCTTCTGCGCAAAGAAAAAGCAATGCTGAGCAGGCTTGCATATCTGACTTTGACAAGCGTTCACAGAAACTTAGGAAAATATTTCATGAGATCTTGGGCTAAAAAATTGCAAGTCATTCCATATGAGTAGAACTCAGATCTATATTCTCTGCTTTATCTGAAATATGTATGCAAAAAAATGAATATTTTAAAGTTCTGAAGATGCAGATGCAATGTATCTCAAAGCTTCTTGTAGCACCCCGGGGGGGTGTAAATAACTGTCATGCTCATTTTCTAATGCTATTTACTTTCGTATGAGAAATAGGCAAATCAGTCAGCTAAACATTTCCTTGGAGAATTACACATTACAAAAAGTAGCCTTGCTGTCATCTCTTTCTATTTTGTCCTTGCAGCCTTAAACAAGGGTTCTAGTTTGCTACCTTCCAGCTTTCTATCTAGAGACAACTAAAGGTATTTCTTCTGTGAGTCACAGACAAGAAACCTCAAAACACATTTCTAAAATTAATGAAACATCAGCTGCTAAAAGTGGCTCTATGCTGCAGAGGTTAGCGAGCCTTACAAAACCAGAATGGCCTTCAAAGGCTTTCTGTACGCTAACTCTATGATCTGTTTTTCCAAAGGAAGTGAAAATAAACCAGGGAGAAGTGGTATAATCTCATAAACCAGATAGCTTTTCTCAGGTCTCTCATATTTTTGAATTTCTGCTCTGCTGGATAGATGTTAATTTCTGTTGTTGTTTTCATTGCTAATAAATTTAATTATGTGAAGCATTTAAGTCCTGTTTTTTTGGTTTCCATAATAACTCTATAAACTCTGAAAGACAGTTTGTAGAGATTATATAAACACTGACATATAAACACTGACCAGTCCTATTTGGTGCTTGCAATGTTGCATAGCTATAATGACCAAAAACACGTAAGTTCCTAGAAGGCTATAGAGTTGTTTCTGCCCATCTGTTCTGCCCATCTCAATATCAACGTATAACAGCAGGCTTAGGAAGACAGACTGGCTCAGGTAAGGATCATAAGTGCTAGATTCATGATTAAGAGAATCATTTAATCATTTCATATTTAGAAAAGCACTTGTAAGTTTGGTTTATGCATATATTTAAATTTCATCAACGCAGTTGAGACTGTAGAAAATGCATGGGTTGGGTGGCATCTGGCCTGTTGCTCCTGGGTGATCCACTGAAAGAGTTAAGAAACTTAAAACTCAATGCAAACTAAAACTCAAAGCTTATTTGGCTTTTATTTTAGATTTCATTGTTGAACTATCAGAGCACAAGAGAGGCAAGCAGTAGTAATGCTATTTGTATTTGCACAGCTCTAGAACATCAAACCTCCCAGACCAAAGCTTTGACCTGATTTCCACCTTGAAAAAAATTCTTTCATTTATATTAAAAACCCAGAGAATCAGAGATGTTACAGAAATACAGCAATAGCTCTCTCTGTAGCAGTATTGCACCATGGCATAAAATAGTTAGTGCTAATTTCTGGAGCAAAGCTATCACATTAGGCAAATACAAATATATTTTTTTACTTACTTGATGTTATATATAGTTTTAAGTTTTATAAATAGCTTATTGTTAAATGAACAGCTCATCCTGTTGCAGCCTGATGGTAGGAAAAGGTTAGTGAGGCAAAAGTGGTAAAGAGAGATTGCATCTATTCTTTGAGTAACCAGGCCCCAAAGCTGGTACCTGCTGCTCTAATAAAAGATGTCATCACTCTTAGCACACTTCATTTTGCTTAACTTGCACTGTCAGAGGGAAAACTCGTTTGAATATTTAAGTATTTAGTATTATATCTACTGCTTGTTACGTAATGTTTACTGTTATTTAATATTATTAACTTTAGGTATTTAATATTTCAGTACTAAAATTATTTGAATAATACTTAGACAACAAGAATTAATAATGAAGCATCATGAAGTGTGTATTTAAGAAAAAGATAAGCTGTAAAAATGGCAGCAGAATCCCTAATGGAAAAGAGTTCAAGAGCTGTTGACATGTTGGGGTAAATAAAAGGGCCTGGAACACAGTAAAGTTTAAATCTGAACTCTTGCTTGGAAAAAAATGGATTTTTTTTTTTATCCTTTAGTTAGAAACAGTGAGGCCAAGGTGGGCAGTGAGCACAGTTCAGCACTTAATACAGATATTAACTGCGAGATGCAGTGCTGAACTTAGAACATGAATTACGGATGATCCAGGAAGTCTGATGCCAGAACACAGGTTTTCAACATCAAGAAGAATTCTTGAGATTTTTTTTTTTACCAGGACCATTTTTTTTCATCTCAGCCCAACCATCCTGAAATCAGGTTCTCCTACAGGTAACTGAAGAAGAGGGCAAAAGTAGGAAGACACTGTAGTGTAAGTTTGGTATGATTGGTGTATTACCAAGTTAAGATTTTAAACGTTATCATACTTGCTCTGTTCAGGCACAGTCTGTGAATTTAAAAAAAAAAAAAAAGTTAACTTTGCTTTTTTTTGTAAGTTTTGTTATCAGATGGTACCATTGTCAAGCTCACAAAATGCAGTCTTTCACTGAAAATCTTTTCAAAAACCTTGAAGCTCTTTGGACATTTAGCAAGGTCACTGATACTTTCAAAACCTTTGTCTCACAAATGTGCTTTTTCGTATTATTGGGTTTTGGAGTGCATGAGGTTAGATTTGTCTTTAATTATTGTCCACATCCCTTTTTGCATGCACCTTTGCAGTGCGTTCAAAAATATACTCATTTTCAATTTTTAAAAGCATCCTTCATTTGACTAAGGTAGAAGACTATGATACTTAGATGTCATGAATTTCTCAGAAGTGGCATTAAGTTCATACTTTTTGCTAATTAAAACCTTTCCAATTACTTGGGAAATATCACCAGCACTTTAAGTCTTTTGAGTCATACTTTTCCTTAAATATTTTCAGGTTGCACTCTTATTCTCTTGCAGAATCTTAATATTTGTAATTGCTATATGGAAAATAGCAGGTGTTTGTCTATCTCAAATAGCTAAGTATATAGATTCTCAATCAGCTCATACTGATGAAGTGAAATCTAAATGAAACCAGGTATTTTTTAGAGACATCCTTTTGAGCTGAGTATTCTGTGTACTGTCAAACACCACTTGATCATAGTACCATGTTATGATCAAATGAGCACTATGCCATCTGTGTGGCCCTAGCTTAATAAGTTTTGGTAGGATATGAGGTTTACCTGCTTTGCCATCTGCATTTTTTTCTGCATCCAAAATGCAACAAGATCTTTATAGGTGTAGCCAGCTGAGTCCATGGTCAGTCTTTTAGCTTGGATGAGCCTCTCAATTTTCAGGCTTTTGAGAATTAAGTAAAGTAGAAACAGTTTGCTTGCTGTAAAGTGGACAGTATTTCCCGTAGTGCCTTCCATGATGCCTTAAACAAAAATGCAGACAGACCTTGAAAAGAATTTGCTCTTCAACAAGTGCCAGTGGGCGGCTCTCCGTCCAGCCAGGAAAGCAGATTGTGCAGGGGAGCCTGGAGGAGCCCCAAGCTCTCCAGGAACAATTCTGCCTTCCCCACATTCTCAAATAAATCGGCTTTTCCATCCCAACTGATACAACGTTTAGCTCGCCTTTTTGCTGATCAGTTGTTCAATAGGAGGGCTTGTCAGATTAAATATCACTGCTGAAATTTAAAATAATAAGGTGCTTCTGTTATTTCTGACTTTCATGCCAGTTGTGCTGTCAGAGATGGTAGGTCACTTAAAATTGAATTCTAATGAGGTTTGTGGCTTCTTGTTGCAGAAGTCAGATGCTGTAAGAGTCACCACTTTCACTGGCTGTATGGGTGAAACTTTTCTGGACAGCAAACCCATAGGACTGTGGAATTTCAGGGACATAGAGGGCGACTGCAAAGGATGTGCTGTCAGGTTGGTAATACATTGGTGGCTTCTTATGCCACTTTATGAACCTGTCTGTGATGACGACACCTTCTGTTATAAGCAGAAGGAATTTCTACAACAGCCATCAGGTTCCAGTAAACAACTGTGATCTGTATGTGACACTGAGAGTTGTAGGAAGTACCAAGTTATGTTGAAATTATGCCAAAAGGAGAGGCACCTAGTCTGAGTGGTCAGGATCGTAACCAAACGAAGACAGCTGGTGCAGCAGCACTGTGATGGAGAGACACCTACTAACCAGTAACTAGGATCAGTCAAAACACAAGGGAGGGCAGTTTCCACAGTGGGACTGAGTCTGGCTCACAGACTGGATTCTGCAGCTCTGGTGCCTGAGCAGAGTCAGGTGCCTCAGGGCGCCTTTCACAGCCACCAGAGTAGCGTGCAGGGGCCCCGAAAAGAGAAAGATGTTTTATATCCTGTCGCTGTCTATGAGCGCAGGTGCCAAACAGGCTAAACAGCCCAGCTGTGCCAGGCCAGGGTTCACATATATAGGCTGTGAACTCTCTTCAGGAATTCTGCAGCAAAGTAAGTTTCTTCCTTTCCAGGTGTGTCCTTGTCTCTACATAGCTGCGATCCCTCTTCATGCCTCTTTCCAACTGAACAAATATCTAACCATTTACTGTGCAGTGTTTCAGCTTCAAGAGCAACATTGATGAGGGCCCCCACAGCCTAAGGCTTTGCCCTTTGTAAATGATGGAAACTCCATTTTTGAGTAGAAACAATTTTGGAAACACCAGAGGATTTCCTTGGCCAATAACATAGGCCCTTGTCACCTAAGTGGCAATTTAAGTGTCGTGATGATGGATATACAGGTTTCAGTTCAAGCATGTAGTTAAGATGCATAAACCTTTATGTGGATCTCTACCTAAATTTAATTTTCTCATTCAGTTAGTGAAGTGCAGTCATTCAGTTAGTGATAGTGTAGAACTACTTGCTTAGGAGAGAAAAAAAAAAAAAGGAGTGTAAAAAGAATACTAGTATTTAAAACTTGCAGAAAACTGCATTAAAAGCTCCCTCTTACCTTAACTTGTTCCATTGCCACAAGAGTCCTGTTCTTCTGGAAAATATATTTGCAACAAATTGCTGTTAAATGTTACCATGGAGGCCTACATTCAAGATCCTTTTATATGAGTCAAGATAAACGAAAAACATGTTCCTAGCCCGTATTTCACATGCAAGTCCCTTGTTCAAATCTATTTATGTCTGTTGTTAACCCAGCTCATTGCTCTCTTGCCGCTATCTGGTCTGTGTGGCAGAAATGGACAACAGTCTACATAAAAATCATATTTAACAATCTCACAACCTGACCTTTTCTGCTCTATAATGAGAGGAGTGCCAAAAAACTGTGGAGGGACTGGTACTGCTGATCTTGCAGTGTTTGTAATTTGTGGGTAAACGGAGAATTACAGTTTCCAAGTTTTCAATCCGGAGCCCTCCAAAAGTTGTAAAATCACTGATAATAACAGAAGTAAGATTTATTACAAAATGAAAGGTTGCGTATAGCTATTTTACATCGAAGGCTGCACAATGAGTCACTACAGACGGAGATACATAAGACAGGTTCCTCTTCTGTCTTCCTCCTGGAAGTGCTTTTGTTTTGGATACCCAATGAGCTGACTTTGGAGCTTCAATTGTCAGAAAGGGGCTTTGATATAAAATCAAACCAAGTTCAGGCAGACTCCTAGGAGGCATCCCCTAACCCCCCCCCCCTTTTTTTCTTTTTTCTTTTAACCTCATATGGTAAGGGAAACTGATTGGAATTTCCTCCTCTTCAGCCCACAGGTAGCAGACGGTGAAGGGACTGTCCAGTTTGATGGTGACAGCTACGCGGTGGTGAGCCGCCCAATCCGCTGGAACCCCAATATTTCCACAGTCATGTTCAAATTCAGGACCTTCTCATCCAACGCCCTGCTGATGTATCTTGCTACAGAGGACTTGGTAAGAATGAACAAGTAACCTCCGCTCCCCTCAGAGGTTTCATGCTGTCTTTACAATGACTGAATTCATCATAATGTGGAAAAAAAATAGAAATTTAAGGTAACGGTGTCCTGCTATGATGCTGTCTGGTATCTGAGTGAAGACAGAAAATATTATTGCGTATGGACATCTGGATATTAGACGAAGGGGAATTCCAGCTTTATTGAAACTACTAATGAATTTAAGTTTGCCCAGATACTTACCCGTGCAAACATTGCCAGTTACAGTTATACTTCTATAGCTTGAAATATCAGCGTGTGGAAGAGAAAGAATGTGAGAAGAGACAGAACCTTTAGGTAGAAGTACTACTAAAAGACAGGAAAAGTTTGGGTCTAAGCTAAGTGGCATTAAAGGGAAACTGAATGGTGCAACAGACAGGATGTGATGGTGATGACATTTTTAATGGAGTTGGCGAATGGTGTCTTTTACAGCTGAACTAGAGAATAGAAAACACTGGTTATAAAGCTGTTCAAGTTTTTATTCCTGCGCGTTACCAAACGTGTGTGGATAATAGAACAATGTTAAAGGAGGAAGTAAGCAGGCTGTGTAAGCATCTGAGAAAATGAGCAAGAGATAGATAGGATATTCTCAGAGATCTTACAGCTTCAAGAGCCTCAACCCTGCCACAGCAGTGGAGATGCAGGCAGTCTCTGTGCCGCATGGAACAGTAAGTCATAACTCTGTAGAAGATGAAGGTTAGAAACTGGTCAGCTCTTGTATGAGGAAAAAAGCTCTTGCTCCTCCTGAAGACTTGCAGTTGATGAAGAGGTTCAGTGCCCTCCAAGCCAAGGAGGGGCTGGGCATGGCTTTTAGTGAAGCAACTGGCCTGACAGACCCTGTGCCATGCAGGAACACCCAGCAGAAGCAGTGTGATTGTTGTGGGTGACTCCCTGCTGCAGGGCACAGAGGCACCCATCTGCTGACTTGACCTCTTGTCTAGAGAGGTTTGCTGCCTGCCGGGGGCTTGGAACTGAAATGCCATGGAAAGACTGTCGAAGCTCGTCCACCCCTCTGACTGTTACCCCCTGCTGCTCTTCCATGTAGGCACCAACGATACTGCCAAGGGCAACTTGGAAAGTATCAAACGGGATTACAGAGCTCTGGGGATGGTGGTCAGGGGTGTGGGGGCCCAGATCATTTTCTCCTTGATCCTGCCAGTGAGGGGGAAGGATGGGAGGAGGAGGAGATGGATTCTGCAAGTTAATAACTAGCTGTGCAGCTGGTGTCAGCAACAGGGTTTTCGTTTCTGTGACCATGAAACCCTGCTTGAAGATCAACAACTGATCAGGAGAGATGGGATCCACCTCACTAAACAGGGTGCACACGTCTTTGCCAACAGGCTGGACAACCTGGTAAGAAAGGCTTTAAACTGGGAAAGATGGGAGAAGGGGAGAGTTACAGAGACAGGGCTCAAGCGGGGATGTTTCCAGCAAGTGCATGCAACCAAGGAAGTAGCTACAAGGCAAGACTACGGAGAAACTTCTTGCATCCCTTCCGGGAAATCATCATGCCTGGATACCTCTCTGAAGTGCCTGTACACAAATGCTCACAGCATGGGGAATGAACAGAAGGAATTAAGAGATCTATGTGCAGTTGCAGTCGATGAGGCCATCTGCAGACAGCTAGAAGTAGCCTCATGATCACACCCTGGTTCTCCTGGGGGACTTGAACCACCCAGATATCTGCTGGAGGAACAACACAACAAGGCACAAACAAGACAGGAGGTTCCTGGAGAGCATTGATAACTTTCTGACACAGGTGATGGAGGAGCAGCAAGGAGGGGTGGGCTGCTGGACTTTGTACTAACAAACAAGGAAGGGCTGTTTAGAAATGTGGAGGTTGGGGGCAGCCTCGGTTGCAGTGACCATGAGATGGTGGAGTTCAGGATCCTGCAAGGAGGAAGCAGGGCAAAAAGTAGGATCACAACCCTGGACTTCAGGAGGTCAAACTTTGGCCTCTTCAGGGACCTTCTTGGAAGAATCCTCTGGGATAACGCCCTAGAAGGAAGACACATCCAAGACAGCTGGTTAGTATTCAAGCATCACCTCTTCCAAGCTCAAGAACGGTCCATCCCAATCAGCAAGAAGTCAAGAAAAGGGGGAAGGAGATGCGCATGGATGAACAAAGAGCTCCTGGCAAAACTCAAACATGAGCAGGAAGTGTACAGGAGGTGGAAGCAGGGATAGGCCACTTGGGAGGAATATAAAGAAGTCGTCCGAATATGCAGGGATAGGATGAGGAAGGCCAAGACCTATTTGGAGTTTAACCTGGCAAGGAATGTCAAGGACAGCAAGAAGGGCTCCTTTAAATACATCAGCAACAAAAGGAAGTGGAAAAATGTGGGCCTGCTGCTGAATGGGGCTGGGGCCCTCATGACAAAGGATGCGGAGAAAGCAGAGATACTGAATGCCTTCTCTGCTTCAGTCTTTGCTGCTAAGACTGGCCCTCAGGAATCCCAGACCCTGGAGAGAAGAGAGAGTCTGGAGAAAGGAAGGTTTTCCCTTGGTCGAGGACGATTGGGTTACAGATCATTTAAGCAAACTTGACATCTACAAGTCCATGGGCCCTGATGGGATGCACCCACAAGTGCTGAGGGAGCTGGCGGATGTTATTGCGAAGCCAGCCTTAATCATCTTTGAAAGGTCCTGGAGAACAGGAGAGGTGCCTGAAGACTGGATAAAGCAAATGTAACTCATCTTCCAAAAGGGCAAGAAACCACAGGCCTGTCAGCCTCTCCTCCATCCCTAGAAAGGTGATAGAGCAGCTCGTCCTGGACGCCATCACTAAGCATGTGAAGGATAAGAAGCTGATAAGGAGTAGTCAGCACAGATTCATGAAGGGGAAATCATGCTTGACCAACCTGACAGCCTTCTCTGATGGAATGACTGGCTGGGTAGATGAGGGCAGAGCAGTGGATGTTGTCTACCTGGACTTCAGCAAGGCTTTGGACACTGTCTCCCATCACATCCTCCTAGGGAAACTCAGGAAGTGTGGGTTGGATGAGTGGAGGGTGAGGTGGATTGAGAACTGGCTGGATGGCCGAGCTCGGAGGGCTGTGATCAGTGGCGCATTCTTGGGGATATTCAAAAGCCATCTAGACAGGGTCCTGGGCAACTTGCTTTAGGTGACCTTGCTTGAGCGGGGGGGTTGGACTAGATCTCCGGAGGTCCCTTCCAACCTCAACCATTCTGTGATTCTGTGCGATTTATAAAGACTATAGACAGATCCCAGCATCTCTGGTCCAGATTTACTTGCAAGTCTGACTGAGAACAGAATCCTTTCCTTATCCTTTTCATATGGGCCAAAAATTATGTACAGTAGTTGTACATAATTGTATGTGGTATGCATGTCTTGAAGCATTATGGAGAACTCACTATTTTACATGTCAGAAAATTGTTTAGGTAAATCAACCTTATTTCAGATTTCTCTAACTCTCTTTTCCGTCTTGGGAAAGCTCAACAGAATTGCTGAAATTACTGAGGTGGTGGGGGCTGCCTTATTGTCGGTGACTGACTTTACTAAAAGATAACACTATATTATAAAAATTATATCTTTATGTAGTTTTATAATTGTTATTTAATTAATTCTTATAATTGTATCTTGATAGTATAATTATGTAATTATATCATTCCGTATAATTATATTCCATATGATTAGTATTATAATTGTTATTACTTTATGTAGTTTTTAATATAAGAAAGATGCGTTTGTATTTGTGAACAAGACTGGGAGTAAGCCATGGAGCAGGAAGGCCAGCAGTTTCTGATATAACCTCTCTCTTAAAATAAGGTCCCACAGTATGAAAATTTTAAAGATGCTTGTGATGCATGGATAGAAATACATAGCATCTAGAATACTGACTTTATTAAGTTTACTCTTTTCTCCTTACCGTAATTTTGTGTTGGTATGCATAACATTATTCTCCTAGTTTTGCAGAAGTATTCAGAACAGAGTAAACTATCTGCTCTCTCCCTATATCTGTGCAGCACAGGCAGAACTAGCCATAAGCAAAATAATTGCTACACTTAAAATTTCCCTGATACACTCATGTCCTGGGTCATAGTTCTGCCATTATTCGCTTGCTGCCTTTCATGTTATCCAGTTCCCTGGCTATTTGTTTTCCGCTTTGTATCCTGCCAGCTATTTTTTTGTAGATATTAAAGTATATACTATGGCTGCAATCAGCCATCCCCAGTTGCTGCTTAGTGGTACCAGTGGTTGATGAGAAAAAGCAGTTCATTGCTCCATCAGTATAGTTTGCTGTTTGGAAACCCTGGTGAAACAAATCTGTTTCACCATCTTTAGTACTGTTTTCTGCCTTGCAAGTTTAAACCTACCTGAGGTATGTAGAAAATACACTAAATGTAGACAGAAACATACTCAACTCTAAGTATTAGTTTCAGGTAATTATAATTTGTCTTCCTGTCTTCAATCTGAGAAAATAAAAGTACAGACTCTCCAGCAAAAGTCCAGTTAAGTGCGCAATCCAAAGTGGAAGAAATGGGGGGAAAAGGGAACTTTATTACATTACAGTTCTGGGCAGTAAGTGCCTAAGCAGATTTACAAAAGTGATTGAAAAAAGCTGTCTATTGCCACTCAAAAAAAAGAGGTAGAATTTAATGTCATCTATCTCTTATCCGTGTAATTCATGTGCTTTTCACCCCTCAAATTCATCTAATCCCTTTCATTAACAGAAGGATTTCATGAGTGTAGAACTCAGCAGTGGACGTATAAAAGTCAGCTATGATCTAGGTTCAGGCACCACTTCTGTTATCAGCAACCAAAACCATAATGATGGCAAATGGAAATCTTTCACCCTGTCAAGAATTCAGAAACAAGGTGAGTTCCTATGGAGTTAACCCTGTGAGTTTCCTAATTACCCTACCCAGCACAGCTAACCATCTAATCATGGGGAAGTGGATGTGCAAAATTTCTAGAGTTAGAACGTTCTAGTGATTTAGCAACTTCTGTGCAGATTACAGGTGTGTTAGGTTGGATGTGAGTGATTGCAGTGTCAAACAGGCCTTTTACGATTTTCTTCTGAAACCGTTAGCTTAATTTTCAAGCATAATTCTGCTTTACAGCTGGTTCAATGACATTTTAAAATGCTTGAGTGAGAAAAGCAGCTTTTTCCTGAGTTCGCTGACGTTATTCAAAATGATAAAACAAACCTATGTGATTTTTCTTGGGACAGCAATAGCTTTTATGCTGTACAGTCGTCCCATACTCAGGGTATCCCAAAGTGCTTGAAAAAGCATGGACTTAAATACTGATAGTACAGTATCTTGGTAGACAAACACAGCAGTCATTTTACATTCAGTAATGATATGCAGGGTGCCATGGTATGACGCTGCATGGAAGCAACTGGGGATATCTTGAACAGTGCCACTGACTCTTGAACCTTTTACTCGTGCAAAATGTGAAGCGGTTAGCATTTGGAAAGATTGATAAGAATCCTGGCTACTGTGCTGGTGAAACCCTTTTTGTGCTTGTTTTTAATCTATTTAACAGATTGCTAGTATCTTATCTGAGACAAATTAATTTTATTTATTGCATTTGTGACAGTATCCTTATGCCTTTGTATCCTGAAGTCTTACAGCAGTCTGAATCTTCAGGGTCACAAA